AAACGTTTACTCCAGAAGCCAGCTAATGTCTGCACACTTCTCCAAGTTTCCGGAGACTACAATTCCATGATTCTGTAAAATATCTTTTGGCTGTGACTCGAAATAAGGTGTTATGCAGTGCTGAATGCCCGGATGACGCCGAGTTTTGGCCACACAGGTTTAGGGATGGCATTTTCTAAAATCTGAACGCACTCTGGTGGCCCAAACTGAAAGTTACTCTGCACAAAGCCTGGCTCGCTCCCGCCTGGGGCGTCCGATAAGAGCAGGTCTGATGATCCTAAGGATTCCATTCCTGCCAGGGGTCTCAAGGGCTTCGGGAGCAGTGACGACTGGGCAGGGCCCCAAGCTTTTATAGAAGGTGCCTTACAAATAGGTCAGCTATCGACAACGCATACTCGGGGGCTACCGGCAAAGGAATGAAACGGGAGGCCGAAGTGCAGCGGGCCCTCCGGGAGAAGCCTAAGGCCATCTCCGGGGCATGGAGGAGAGAGCTTACCGCCCGAGTTTCCTGTGGAGCAAGCGAGCTCCCCGCGCACCCTCGGGCTGGCGGCACCAGGCCAAGGCGCTCTGGCTCAGGGGCGCTGCAGTCAGCGCCGCGACTCCAGGCTCCCCTCTCCAGGACGCGCTCCGCGGCCCGCGTCTTGCCGCCCTGGTCGCCCGCCCGCCAGCGGGTCCCGGACCGAGCTCCCCGCGAACGCAGCATCTCAGCCTCTCTCCAGAGCCAGCCAGTCCCTGTGCGCCCGCCAGCCTAGATTGTGGATATGTTACCTTCGTCCTCGAAAACAGGAGAGGGTCAGGTATCGCCATCGGACATCTTCCCGGACGTGACACCCGAGCCGCTAGGAGCTTTTAGCGTCCGGGAGCGCTCGGGGGAAGAAAGGCGAAGAGGCCGTCCCTTTTCCATCCCCGGCGTTGGAAGGCCGAGCGAGGAGTCTCCACTTGGAGTTCGAGGAATTCCAATAGATATGCTCTAAAACTATCGATTTGGAAATCGCAGTTCAGCATAAAACCATCAAAACTCCCCAGCAGTACTTCCACACGGAGTCCCTTCTCACAGCCATGGCGAAGCCACTCCCAGCTCCGCGCACTCCAGGCCAAGAAGGGACGGACGCGACGCAGGCTGGACCCCCAATCCTCCGGGGCAGACAGGCGTGGAAGGCGGCGGGCGCCCGCAGGCAGCTCCGGGGTGGGCTGCGCAGCTCCAGGGGTCGCCCGGCCAGGTGCGCTCGCCCCCGGGGGCCCTCAGGGCGCGAGGCAGGAGCCGACGCGCAGGGCGCGGCGGCGCGGCGCACTGGGGTCTCCGGGGCGCTGCGCTGGACGCAGCTCCGACTGCCGACTCCCATGCGGCTCCAGGGTGCCGGGTCGGCCGCTGCGGGCGGGTGGGCGCGGGGCAGCGGGGCGGCGGGGCGGGAGCAGGGTGGGACACAAAGACCCAGAGCGGAGACGGCCGGCGCGGGCGGCAGGCGTTGCGCCCGGAGCGGGGCCGCCTGTGACTATAGATCCAGTGCAGCGGGCAGCGGCCCGAGCGCACCGGCGCCGTGTCGGCGCGGTTCCAGGTCCCAAAGCGCAGCGCGGAGCGCAGGAGTCTTGCTCTTGTCCAGGCTGGATTGCAATGGCACAGATCTCGGATCACTGCAATCTCCACCTCCCAAGTTCAAGCAATTCTCCTGCCTCAGCCTCCCGAGTAGCTGGGATTACAGGCACGCGCCACCATGCCCAGCTAATTTTTTGTATTTTTAGTAGAGACAGGGTTTCACCATGTTGAACAGGATGGTCTGGATCTCTTGACCTCAGGATCCACCCGCCTCGGCCTCCCAAAGTGCTGGGATTACCGGTGTGAGCCCCTGCACCTGGCCTGCTTCCTGTCTTTTTATCACAAAGTTACTCTTCATTTGAATGTCTGCTTTCCTTGGAACAAATTGCTAGGTTATCAGAATGCAAGGAGACAAGTCATCCTGTCAGGTACAGAATTCAATGCTGTCAAATTTCTTGTATTGGGGAGAATTTTAGGTAGGTGGAAGAAGAACATTTCCCTTCATATAACAGATCAAAAGTGTCATGTCACAAGCATGAGAACCATTTGTCATGCTGAAAGAAACTCCTTTTCTTAAGTTTATGAATAATTACATCGTGAGTGACAAGATAAAAACTGTACTTTTATGTAAGTGCACATGTAATCATGAGTAAAGTGCTTCCTGAAAGATGAGCAAGTATATTGCTTGAAAAATAATCTCACACTTATCTGTCTCACTTAGCAATCAAGCACAAGGAAACGTGTTATTTCTCTAATAATTCAGGCAAGGAAAAATGTGATCAAAGCATGTGTAAAAGCACATTCATAGCTTCTGTCTGTATCTTCATCAGTGGTCATCCCAGAAACTTTCATTTAATGAGACAGCAAAGATTAAGTTTATAATAAAAGAACTGTATGAAATAATTTCAGAATGCTATATTATTTGTCTTCTGACTTAGGAACTGTATGAATTAATTTTAGAATGCCATGCTATTTGTCTTCTGCCTTTGTTTAATTCTTATGGAATTTGAATTTTTAAAAAATGGTTCTGAGCAAGTACTGCAGTGAATACAAGATAACTAGATCCTAGCACTGGTCTTCCGTTTACAAGTTGCACCACAGACTGTGGCAAGTCATCTGATATGATCTGGCTCTTCTCTGCATCCCCACCTAAATCTCATGTTGAATTGTAATCCCCATTGTTGTGGGAGGGAACTGGTGGGAGGTGATTGGATCTTGGATGCAGATTTCCCGCTTGCTGTTCTAGTGACAGTGAGTTCTCTCGAGATCTGGTTGTTTAAAAGTGTGTAGCACCTTCCCCTTCGCTCTCTCTCCTGCTGGCCAAGTGAAGATGTGTGCTTGCTTTTTCTTCACTTTATTCCATGAGTGTAAGTTTCCTGAGGCCTCCCCAGCCATGCCTTCTGCACAGCCTATGGAAGTGAGAGTCAGTTAAGCCTCGTTTTAAAAATAAATTACTCTGTCACAGGTAGTTCTTTATAACAATGAACTAATACAGAAAATTGGTACCAGAGAGGTGAGGCATTGCTATAAAGATAGCTGAAAATGTGGAAGTCACTTTGGAACTGGGTAACAGGCACAGGTTGGAACAGTTTGTAGGGATCAGAAGAAGATCGGCAGATAAGGGCAAGTTTGAAATTTCCTAGAGACTTGTTGAATGGTTGTGACCAAAATGCTGATAGTGATATGGACAGTGAAGTCCAGACTGAAGTGGTCTCAGATGGAGATGAGGAACTTATTGGGAACTGGAGTAAAGGCTGCTCTTGCTATGCTTTAGCAAAGAGACTAGTGACATTGTGTCCCTGTTCTAGGGATCTGTGGAATTTTGAACTTGAGAGAGATGATTTAGGGGTATGTCAAAATAAATTTCTTTCTTTTTTAAAATTATACTTTAAGTTCTGGGATACATGTGCAGAATGTGCAGGTTTGTTGCATAGGTATACACATGCCATGGTGGTTTGTTGCACTCAACAACCCATCATCTATATTAGATATTTCTCCTAATGCTACCCCTCCCCTAGCCCCCACCGACAGGCCCCAGTGTGTGATGTTCTCCTCACTGTGTCCATGTGTTCTCATTGTTCAATTCCCACTTATGTGTGAAAACATGTGGTGTTTGGTTTTCTGTTTCTGTGTTAGTTTGCTGAGAATTATGGTTTCCAGCTTTATCCATGTCCTTGCAAAGGACATGAACTCATCCTTTTTTATGGTTACATAGTGTTCCATGGTATATATATGCCACAATTTCTTTATCCAGTCTATCACTGATGGGCACTTGGATTGGTTCCAAGACTTTGTTGTTGTGAATAGTGCTGCAATAAACATACATATGGATGTGTCTTTATAGTAGAATGATTTATAATCCTTTGGGTATATACCCAGTAATGTGATTGCTGGGTCAAATGGTATTTCTGGTTCTAGATCCTTGAGGAATCACTAGACTGTCTCTGTTGGAAGAAATTTCTAAGCAGCAAAGCATTCAAGAGGTGGTTTGGCTGATTCTAAAAGCCTATGCTTATTTGCATAAACAAAGAAATAACCTGAAATGACCTGCAACTGGGACTTATGTTTAAAAGGAAAGCAGAGCATAGAAGTTTGGAAAATTTGCTGCCCTGCCATGTGGTAGAAAAAAAATACCCATTTTCTGGGGAGCAATTAAAGAAGGCTATATAAATTTGCATAAGTAAAGAGGACCTGAATGTTAATAGGCAAAACAATGGGGAAAATGCCTTCAAGACATTTCAGAGAACTTCAGTGCAACCCCTCCCATTGGAGGCCTGGAGAGAAAAATGGTTTGGTGGGACAGGCTCAGGGACCCACTGCTCTGTGTGGCCTAGGGACATGGTACCCTGCATCATGGCCGCTTCAGCTCCAGCCTTGGCTAAAAGGGGCAAAGGTACAGCTTGTGCCATTGCTTCAGAGGGTGTAAGCCCTAAGCCTTGGTGACTTCCACATGGTGTTGGGCCTGAAGGTGTGAAGAAGGCAAGAGTTGAGATTTGAGAGCCTCTATCTAGATTTCAGAGGATGTGTGGATGTCCAGGCAGAAGTCTGTGGCAGGGGTGGAGCCCTCATGGAAAACATCTACTAGAGCAGTGCAGGGGAGAAATGTGAGTTGGAGCCCCCACACAGAGTCCCCACTGGGGCATTGCCTAATGAAGCTATGAGAAGAGGGCCATTGTCCTCCAAACCCAAGAATGGTAAATTTGCTGACAGTTTGCACCATGGGCCTGGAAAAGCCACAGGCACTCAATTCCAGCCTGTGGAAACAGCCATGGGGGCTTTATGCTGCAAAGCTTTTGGGGCAGAGCTGTCCAAGACCTTGGGCACCTTTCATTCCTTTAAGTAGAGAGGCTTTTCAGCCAAACTTAATTCCTTAGTATTTCCTTTTTTCTTCCAGGCATTTTGTTGTTGATGAGAGCATAAGATATTTATTTTATTGGAAAACATCAGGCAACATATTTTATAAACAATAGCTCTATAACCTGAAACAATTGAAATAATTATGGCTTGAAATGATAGAAATTTGATTGGTTTCTAGATTTATTGTTGTTGATTTTTTTACATAAGGAGCATACTGTGCCCATTTATTATAGAATGCAGTTAAAAATATATTTTTTGAGGTTAGCCTCTCCAGTTTAAAAGCACTTAACTAGAAATACCTAGATGGTGATGCAATGGTCTCTCCAAAACAGGCTCCTTCATACCAAGTACCATAAACAGGGTGTGAGAACGTTCAATCAATTTCTTGATATAAACAATCAAAGCATTTAATAAAACCATCTTCCCAATTTCCAAAGCATGCATTGTTACTTGGCATTAGGTATTTCAAAATGACAAACTTTGTTATGGCATTGTAAGGCCAAAATATAATACCTATTTACCAGACATACATGTTACAACTAGAAAAACATTACAAATGTTAATCTAGCATAAGAATTCCAGCAGGAATTAATGGAGAAAGGCACTGCATCCCTCTCATATCACCACAGAGCTACTGTCCACTTGACATGCTTTGAATTCAAATCCTGTTAGACGTTGGGGACAGCATTTTCTACAACATACCATTCACAGGTAGGTTAATACAACTCAGTCTCCCACTGCCATACTTTTCACCCAAGTGTACAACAGGTATGAATATATGCTATCAGCTTTATTTACAAGTTTTTTCTCGATGTCTCAGTGGGGTAAAAATACCCAACTATCTCAACCAACAGTTTCCAAAAAAGTTTTTGTTGGAAAAGATTCATGTATAGAAACCACCACATCAAAGAAATAACAGAAACTGATGTCCGACTCCAAACACCGAAAGTAAAATGTCTCACCCACTGAGAGTTGGCAGTGAAACTGCTATTCTCTGAATTGTATAAGCTAAACACTACAGAGAAACTTCAGATCAACTGCTTTTGCAGAAGTACAGGTTACGTGTCGCACAGTTTAGGACTCCGAGTGAATGAACGTATTCCAGGAAGAGTTCCACCAGCGAGTGCTGTTGCAAAGAGCGTCGAGAATGAGAATCTGGGAAAGATGATAAGTTTTCCAGATGCTTTCCTGTCTTCCAAAAAGATGTAAAACCACGGTGTAACTTCATATACGAACAAAGGTTAGTTTTGAAAATCAGTACTATACATGCACAAACCTGAGAACATGAGGGAAGAAAGGAAACGCGACAATTTCCACGCTGCATTGCTGCTGTGTTCATGACCTCTCTGCACTAGGAGGCTTCCTGTGGTACCTCCTCCTACCAGTAGAGAGTGGACCCTGCGGGCTGCTTAGAAACAGGAAGCTCTCTCCTGAACCCACTGACCAGTCTGCCCTTGGCACAGACAGAACCTACCAGAGAAGAACAAGTACAAAATACTATCATGATCAGTTTTCTCAAGACAGTCCCAAATGTCCTTGTGCAATCACCACAAACTTGGGGATTGGCCCAAGCCATTCCCGGGTGCCATGAACAGTCACTGGTGTGCAGCATTAGAACAAGGGGACACAGCCTTGATTCTCTTCTGAGCAACATGAACTGGGATTTCTGCCACCCCAATCTTGGCTCCCACCTCCGAAGAAGTCGTGACCAGCCACCTCCACAGTAAGATTCCTCCCATGAGTATGATTTGGAATGCATCCTCCTCACGTGCCAGGTCAGCTGAGGTGGATCGGCGTGTACTCCGGCTTCCTGGTCTGGATAATTTTTGGCTTGGGTCTCTTCATTCTCTCCATCTCCTCTTCTTCCTCCTCCTCTTCATCGCTCTCACATACGTGGACTACCGCGCTGGGAGTGGTGTCAGTCGCTGCATGCAATTCATACTTTTCCCCTGGCCCCAGCTTGGAGATAGCATATAAGAGATCATAGTTTATGACTGGGGTTGCGTCTTCCACTTGTTTCCACCCCACTGGTGGAGAGGCGGGAGGGGAGATCAGAAACTGCTTGTCGGGGTTTGGCGGAGCCAGGTGCGAGCTTCCTATGTGTAAGGTCTGAGCAAAATATAACTTCATTTCCTTTCCCAGAAACTCAGTCTTATGCAGCTGGAGCCTGACATCTGCTGCGGAGAAGAGGTTGCTGAAGTTTATTCTGACTCGTTTGAAACTCTTAAAATACTGAAAGGCGATGTCCTTGCCATATGTCCTAAAGACAGACTCAAATTTGGCCCGGCACAGGCCGTCCATGAACAAGGGCGGGTCCGGGTGGCAGGCGATGGTGGCGCTGGGCAGGTCCTGCAGGTCCACCTCCTCCATCTCGCAGTCAATGAAGCTCCAGTGGCCGCCGCCCTCGTCCGCCTCCGCAGTCCCTGTGAGGGGCACTAAGGGCAGCAGCGTCACCCCGGGCCGCGCTCATGCCTCGGCCGCCTCCGCCGCCGCCCGGTGCAGGGGCCCGGCCAAGACGTCCTCCATCCCAGCTCCCGCGCGCCCCTGTGCACCCCCGCGGGCTGCGCCCGGCTAGTGCTCCGGAGCCTCACGCGCGCCCGGTCACGGTTAACCCCTCCGGGTCGCGCAGCGGCGACCACCGTTCCGCGCGGGAGGGGCAGAAACTCGGCGCGGCGCCCGCCTACCCAGCCCCGAGGGCCGACCCTGTTGTAGATTTTTTTTAAGAGAAAAAACATATTCAGTCAGCTTTTAAAGCGGCTAAGGAATTCTACTAAAAATTGTGATGTAAGGGAAAATTGTCCTCAGCTTCTTAGGCTACCATTTGACACTTACTTCACTACTTAGCTTTACCCAAATTATGCTTTTCTCATCCTTTTCTTGCCTAATGAGACGCATATTCTTTCTCCTTTCTTTGCTGTCAAAAACAAACTATATTTGTTTTTCCATGCTACGCATTGATAAAATATTGTCCCAATGAGGTAGAAAATGACAAAAAAGTCAACTATTAGTTCTTCCAGTTGTTTTAATTTTTTTATTTTCACTATATTTTAGTAGAAAAAAATTAGTTTTAGGTCAAAAGAAAGGAACCCAAAAATGGAGGCATTTTAAGACATCCAGTAGGAAGGACAGATAGAAAAACATTTCTCCATATAGATATGGGTACATACGTTTATACATGTAAGTATAGATATAAATATATATGTAAGTATGTATTTTTATATCAATCATAGTTCAGATGTAATGTCAAAGTATTTAGGGGAACTATTACATAAAGTACATTTGTTTATTAAAAAGAAGGATTTTCATAGTAGAGTATAAAGTTATTTGAATAGTTAATAAGACTAGTTAGGACAGAATTAGAAAAATGTATGTGAACCATCTCCAAGATATGAGAGAATTATGTGCCAGATGTACTATATAAGAAATTAGTGTTGAATATTACATATGACTCTAACGTAATTATGAATACTAAATATATAACTAGAATGTCATTTACCAAGGTTTTCCACATGAAATAATACTGTTTTTTAACCTTAAAACATACATTGTAATAAATGTTATGATGTTCAGAATTCTAAATGCAGCATGATAAAATCTTTCTTCTATTGTTTGCTGGTATACATTTAAAAAATCTTTTGCTCCTTTTTGGTGGATAATAACACACACACGTACACACATACATGCATCCCCATTACCTTTCTTGGGATAGTCACCATTAAAAATGTCTGGACTTACATATTTCTAAGATCAGCTCTGTGTGTAAGAAATTTAATGTAGCTGCCAATTTTGTGTGGTTCTGGGGAAATAATAGTTTAAAATATTCTAGCTGGCTGAGGGCAGTGGCTCAGGCTTGTAATCCCAGCGCTTTGGGAGGCTGAGGCGGGCAGATCACGAGGTCAGGAGTTCATGACCAGTCTGGCCAACACAGTGAAACCCCATCTCTACTAAAAATATAAAAATTAGCTGGGTGTGGTGGTGGATGCCTGTAATTCTAGCTACTCAGGAGGCTGAGGCAGGAGAATAGCTTGATCCTAGGAGTTGGAGGTTGCAGTGAGCCAAGATTGAACCACTGCACTCTTACTCCAGCCTGGGCAACAGAGCTAGACTCTGTCTCAAAAAAAAAAAAAACTAGTTTGCCTCTAATTTTACTCCTAACTCCAATCTGTACTCCTGAAGCAAGATGTTTTTGGATGAGACAGCAGGCAGATGAAGGCCTGAGAGTGGTAGAAGAGCTATTCTGGGCTTTCCTCCCTCAGGGCTAGAGGACAGCTTGGAAACTAGCAAAGGAAAACATGGACCACTTCAAGTCTCAGAGCAAAAATTCTAAGAGACAAAATTGGGATGGAAAATAAAGGTGATATGGTAACTGACAAATGGAATTTACACAAATCTGAAAATTCTGAAAAAGAAAAAGAAGCAGAAACAATGAGTATGCAAAGAGAAGAAAACTCTGAGCAAATTAAAACGTGATCTGCACAATCCCATTACTGGGTATATACCCAAAGGAATATAAATCATTCTACTATAAAGACACATGTACATGTATGTTTATTGCAGCACTATTTACAATAGCAAAGACTTGGAACCAACCCAAATGCCAATCAATGAAAGACTGGATAAATAAAACATGGCACAGATACAGCATGGAATACTATGCAGCCATAATAAAGAATGAGTTCATGTTCTTTGCAGGACATGGATGGAGCTGGAAGCTATCATTATTAGCAAACTTACACAGGAATAGCAAATGAAATACGGTCTGTTCTCACTCGTAAGTAGGAGCCAAACAATGAGAACACATGGACACAGGGAGGGGAACATCACACACTGGGGCCTGTCAGGGGTTTGGGGGATAAGGAGAGGGTGAGCATTAGGACAAATATCTAATGCATGCAGGGCTTAAAACATAGATGACAGGTTGATAGGTGCAGCAAACCACCACGGCACATGTATACCTATGTAACAAATCTAAACGTTCTGCACATGTATCCCAGAACTTAAAGTAAAATTAAAAAAAAAAAGAGTTAGCTGCAGATTGAAAGAGCTCACCGTTTTAGACCGATGAGATTTGTATTGTTTGAGTTTCTTATATGTTTTGGATCTGGACCCTTTATTAGCTGTATAGTTTGCAAATATTCATTTCCCATCCTGTGGGTTGTCCCTTTACTTTGTTAATGGCTTGCTGTGAAGACGTTTTTTAGTTTGATACCATATTATTTGTCTCTTTTTGCTTTTGTTGCCTGTACTTTTGAGGTCATATTAAAAAAATCATTGCCCCAGCCAGAATTGCGGGGATTTTTCTGTTTTCTTTTAGTAGTTTCACAGTTTCAGATATCATGCTTAGATTTTTAATCCACTTGGGTTGATTTTTGTATGTGGTATGAAATATGGATCCAATTTCATTCTCCTTCACGTGGATGGCTAGTTGTCCCCACACTATTTATCGAAGATATTGTCCTTTCCCCATTGTGTGTTCTTGGCACCTTGGTCAAAAATCAGTTGATCCCCGGAGTCACCGTGCCGGAGTGACCGAGCCCGGGACTCCACTTCCTCCTCTTTAGAGATGACAGATGAGGGGCATCTAGTGTTCTGGGGTACCCTAAATGCGAGATGCCCCTCATCTGTCATCTTCAAAGAGAAGGAAGGAAGCGGTGGCTCAAGCCTGTAATCCCAACACTTTGGGTGACGGAGTCGGGAGGATCACTTGGGCGCAGGAGTTCAAGACCTGCCTGGGCAACATAGGGAGACCCCGGTCTTACGGGAAGAAAAACATTAGCCGGCGTCGTGGCGGGCTCCTGTGGTCCCAGTTACTCTGGAGGCTGAGCCGGGAAGATCGTTTGAACCCGGGAGGCGGAGGTTGCAGTGAGCTGAGATTGAGCCACTGCACTCCAGCCTGGAGTAGCGACAGAGCTACTTGGGCAGACAGGAGTGGTGACAGGCAGGGAAGATGGTGCCCAGGGCCGGGAATAGCCAGCTGACCGCAGGGAGGCGGCTGAGGCCCTGGAGCCAAGAGTTGAAGCAGATCCCAGGGCCAACTCCGCAGCCGCATCTCCAGCTTTGTTCATGGGTCTGGGAAGCAGTGGCCTCTGGCCACCCCACGTGCGCGGCGGGCCCACTTCTCCACCGCAGCGCGGCCCAGGCTGCCCGGGGCCTGTGAGTTTCCCGCCAGGGCCGGGCTCGGTCTGGCCGGAGGAGGAAGGCGCGGCCCTGGTGGGGAAGGCGCAGGGATGCGGCTCAGGCCACGGGGCAGGGGTAGAGAAACGACCCCGGCGCCGTCTAGGCGCCCAGCTCCGTTCCCCACCCCTTCCCCCCCCACCCCGCCCCGCCGCCAAGAGACTCCCGTGACCGGTGGCTGCTGGGGGCCCACAGAGCCCTGGAACTCACCGGGGTGACTCGCGGCACAGAAGCCGGTGGAGTCTGAGATGGCGCTCGGAGCGGCGGCCGCGCTCCACTGCGGAAGGATCGGATTTCGCCGCTGGTTTTAAAATTGTGCTCGCGGAGCCCAGGACGCTGGGAGAAGTGTTCTGCGCCCCGCCGGTCGCGGTGTCCGCATTAAACTGACTTCCAGAGCTGCCTCTGCTCCCTGGAGGGGAGGGCACCGGTGTCTCACGAGATCGCAGGTCCTCAGCTTCCCGCCCGCCTGCCTCGCTGCAGATGCAGGGGAGGACCCCGCCTTGCTGCGCTGACCTCTGGCGGCTCTGTCCTGGCGTAGGATGCCTCTATCCAGGAACCTGCGGAGGTCAGACTCCTGCGCCCGAACCTCTCCAGGTCCTCACCATGAAATACGGACATCTGCGCCCACAGGCCCTGCGCAGCCAGGAGGCTCAGCGCCCGAAGCTCGTCCCAAAGCTGTGCACCCTGCAGGAAGCGGCTGCAGAGAAAGTGCTGGAATGGCCCTGTGTGGGTGTGGCAGGTGGGGACCGGGTCCTCCCCGCTTCTCCATCTGCAGCTTCAGACTCTTCACATGGTTTAGCACACCGTGGGCGCCGAGCCCAGCAGGAACAGGGTGCCTTGCTTCTCAAAAGTTCACAGGCACGCATGGCTTGGTCCTCCTCTCCAAAGTGTCTCAGGAAATAAGCCTTCCTGTCCTCCTCCAGGAACCCCTCCACTCTTATGTTGATGGGCTTCTCGGCCAGGAGCTGCAGGTCCTTCAGGGACCTGGGTCCCGCGGTGACCAGCAGGGTGGCCTCGGGTAACATCTTCCTCTTCAGCAAACTCCCCAGGAGGACCGGCACCGGCTTCAGTTTCTTCCAGTCCCCGAAGATGTCCTGGATCAGCGCCCCGGGTGGGACGCTCAGCTCATCAAGGCGTTGACCATGAGCTGGATTCTCTGAGCTTAGCCTAGGATGTTTGCAATGACATCCTGCAATTCAGGCCGGTCTTTGGCAATCAGCTCTGCAAAACTGCAGGGGCCCAGGTGACTGAGCCCCTTGCAGCTGATGTAGAAAGCGTATCTGGCCTTCGGGCCGAGGTTGTAGTCTTTCCAGTCCAGCATACACTTTTTAAGCCGCCGTGGTTTTCCCCACTCCCGCAGGACCCTGCAGACCCACCGTGTAAGGTGATAGCTACGTGGTCTGCTGGGATTCAAGAATGGAATGAACCTTTGGTTTCTCTGAGTGACATGGTCGTGGAAATTGTCACTGTCTCCTCGCCAAAAGCTGTTCCTCCGGACCAAAGACTGTTCGTCCATCACGTTTCTCCATCCTTCCTTCTCACCTGGCTTTGCTAACTCCAAGACCTCTTTTGAGTCTCTGAGCTCAGGGTTATCTGCGTCTTCCACCTGTCTGTCATCCAGCAACTCAACCTTTGCCATCTGAGACAATTCCGGAAGATTCCTCTGTTCCAAGATCTTCACAGTCGCATTTTTTATCCAACATTCTGAGGATGTGTTGTCCAGAATTTCTGCCAGTTTCTTGCCATTGGCCTCTTCCGCCTCAGACCATGGGGTCTTCTGTAGCACATCTTCTAGGGGAAAAGCCATAAGAGGGATTTGAAAGTCCCTAATTCGCCCTTGCTCAGCTGCTCCAGAAGGGGCTGCAGAGTGCACTCTAGCTGTGGTGATGTCATAGTGCTCCACGTATGAGACCTTGGGTTAAGGCTGAAGAGTTCCTTAGGGCAGGTTTTGCTTCCAGCCTCCAATTATTGATTTAAGTGAACTTTTTTCAATTTACTTTTATTAATTCCTCCTCTTTCATCCATCAGTATGATTTTAATTTGTTTTGTATCTTTGGCTTAATATTATTTTAATTTCTATTTCATTTAATAAATGGCTAATACCCTGATAACTTTAAAAAAATCAATTGATTATACATGCATGGATTGTTTTCTGGGCTTTCTATCCTGTTTCATCATCCAGCTTATTTTTATGCCAGTACCATGCTATTTTCATTACAATAACTTTATAAGATATTTTGAAATTAGGGAGTGTGATGTCACCAACTTTTTTCTTTTGGCCCAAGATTGTTTTGACTCTTCAGGGCCTTTTGTGATTCTGCACATATTTAAGGATACTTTTATTTCTGTGAAAAATAACATTGCAATTTTGGTAGAGATTACATTGACACTGTAGATTATTTGGGTAGAATGAAAATTTTTGAAAGTGGGTTGTTGAGGCTCCACAATATTATAGTATTGCATCTATTTCTTCCTTCACATTATTTAATAAGTGCTTTATGTATTTAGCTGCTCTGATGTTGGGTGCATATTTAATTACAATTGTTATGTCCTCTTGGTGAATTGACCCCTTTCTTATTATGTAATGACCTTCTTTGTCTCTTTTTGCAGTTTTTGATATAAAGAGTATTTTGACTGATACAAGTAGAGATACTCCTGGTCTCTGCTGGCATTGAATATCTTTTTCCATACCTTCAGTTTCAGTCTGTATGTGTGCGTGTGGTTCTTTTCTGTTTTGTTTTTAATTAAATTCAGCTATCCTGTGTCTCTTGGTGGATAATTTAATCTGTTTACATCCAGGTAATTATTAATAGGTAAGGATTTGCTGCTGCTGTTTTGTCATTGGTTTCCTGATTTTTTTTTTTTTTGGTAAGTCCCTTGTTTCTTTATTTCTCTCTTGCTGTTTTCTTTTGGCTTTGCGGTTACCATGAGGCTTGCATAAAATATCTTAGGCTTCCAACAGGCTACATGAAGCTAATAACAGTTGAACTTTAATCTTGCACTCTCACTCCCTCCTTTTATACTTTTGATGTAGAAATTATTATTTGTTTTTGTAATTTGTATTTCTTAACAATTGCAGCTACAATTGCTTTTAATAGTTTTGTCTTTTAATCATCACAGTAAGGATAAGATTGCTTTACATACCGCCCATACAGTGTTAGAGAATCTGAGTTTGATTATGTGTTACTTAATACCATTGAGCTTTTTACTTTCATATTTTTTTGCTGTTTTTAAGTAGAAACCTTTCATTTCAGCTTAAAGAACTGCCTTTAACCAATCCTGTAAAGTACGGATAATGTGATAGACTCCCTTGGTGTTTGTCTGGGAAAGTTAGAATTCTCTCTCTCTCTCTTTTTTGAGATAGTCTCGCTCTGTCACCCAGGCTGGAGTGCAGTGATGCTATCTCGGCTCACTGCAACCTCTCCCTCTAAAGTTCAAGTGATTCTCCTGCTGCAGCCTCCTGAATAGCTGGGATTACAGGTGCCTGCCAACACACCCTGCTAATTTTTGTATTTTCAGTAGAAATGAGGTTTCGCCATGTTGGTCAGGCTGGTCTTGAACTCCTGGCCTCAAGTGTTCCACCTCCCTTGGCCTCCCAAAGTGCTGGGATGACAGGTGTGAACCACCATGCTTGGCCAACTCCCCCTTATTTTTTAAGGACACCGTTGCCAAGTAAAAAATTCCTGGTTAGCAGTTCTTTTTCTTCAGCACTTTGAATATATCACCCTAATCTCTCTTGGCCTGCAGAGTTTCTGCTAAGTCAACTGAAAGCCCTATTGTGGTTCCCTTGAATGTGATACATTTCTTATCTCTTGCTGCTTTCAGTTTTGTTTCTTTGTCTTTGATTATTGATTTTGCTTTATCTTGGTGAATTCCTCTTTGAGTTGAATTTGATTGGAGACTTCTGAGCTTCCTGTATTTAGATGTTCTCTTTCCCCAGATTTGGGGAATGCTTAGCCATTTTCTTAAATATGCTTTTTGGGCCTCTTCTCTATCTTCTTCTGAATCTCCTATCATGTGAACATCACTTTGCTTGATGGTATCTCATAATTCCTGTAGGCCTTCTTTATTCTTTTTCTTTTTGCTCTTCAGACCGGATAATTTCTAGTTATCTATCTTAGAATTCATTGATTCTTTCTTCTGCTTGATTAAGTCTACTCTTGAAGCATTCCATTGAATTTTTCAGTTAAATTATTGTATTCTTTATGACTCAGAGTTCTATTTCATTTCTATTTATCATCTCTAGTTTTTTGTCAAAGTCTCATTTTGCTCATGAATTGGTTTCCAATTTAATTTTATTTAATTGCAGTTCCCTGGACTTCTTTAAGGGAGTTCCCTGAGCTCTTTGTTAGTCATTTTATAGATCACCTTCTCTTTCAGATCTGTTATTGGATCTTTATATTTGTTTCGTGGTGTCATCTTTCCCTGACTTTTCATAATACCTTTCATTCTTGTATTGATGCCTCTGTGTTTGAGGTGATGACCACCTCTTTGAGGCTTTGACAGATCTTTACTACTTACTAGGAAGGGATTCTGGATGTGTTAGCTGGCAGTGAAGCTGGACCTTAGTGTCAGGTTCTCTAGTGGGCCTGTGTCACTTCCTGTACCCTAAGGTTGAACAGTACTGCTAACTGGACTCTGCAATTAACTCTGATCAGGCACCATTATAGACTGTTTCCAGTGGCTGGGTGGTATTGCTGTTCAGAGTCTGTAGTTGAGCAGGCCTCTGTGCTAAGCTCTAAGGTAGACTGAAGACTCTGGTGTTCTTACTTAGCTACACAGGGTGATCAGGGCTAGAAGCCATTGTGTCCTACACATATGTGTGGACTTGAGCTTGCCTCCTGGCCGAGGGTAGGCTTAGACAAAGCACCAAAGCTTAGTGGAGTCCCTGCTCAGCTTCTGGTGCTGGATGGAGCCAAATATACCATTTACAGAAAAGTACTGATTTTCACTTGCCTTCTAGCCTGGGAAATGCTGTAGAAAGCACCAGGTCTATGTAGGAAAGCCAACAGAGGACTCTGTGTGTACCAGCTCTGCCAATACATATGGTCTCTCAACTGATGCAGGCTTGAAAAAGCAGTATACCTCCTTCCAACAAGCAGTCTTGAGCATCTCTGTGTGCAGAGTGCAGAGGATGGGGCAGATACTTAGAGCTTTTTGGCAGAGGAATAACTTGACCGATTACATATGCCCCTTCACCCCTTCACTATATCTGATCCTTGCTGACCCCTTTTCTCCCATGCCTGGGCTTCCTCTCCTGCTGTTCCTTTACCTTTGCAGGGTAGCATTATGCTGGCCGTTTGGTCAGACATTCTGAGCTCCAATCCTCCTCTTACTATCCAGTTATGTGACCTTGGAAAAATTACTTAATCTTTCTGAGCCTCAGTGTTCTCATTTGTAAAATGGGTAGAATCACATTTCCAAGGGTTGTTGGGTAGATTATATGAAATAATGCATGTAAAATTCTTTCCACAGTACCAAGCACTCAATGAATGCTAGTTGTTCTCATTATTAGTATTAAAATGCATCCACTCTTTATTTTTTCATCTCCTACCCTGTCTTCAAGGCCCAGCTGAAATGTTGCTGCCCCTACAGGGATTTCTCTGATGCCAGCCAAACTGATCTTTACCTTTTCATATCTTTTGTACTTACAAGCTCTCCTTCATAATTACTGTTTAGCTACATATGGCACTGTGTTTTTTCTTCAGTGGTCTGTAGAACCCAATGTACAAATGTGTAAAGATGTTCAATGGCATACCACTTTGTTAATAAAATAATTATTCCCTGCATTTATCTTCTCACATGAGGCTTAAACAATATGAGAGCAAGGACTATGTAAGGCAAAACATAGGATCTCCAAAACTACCTTCTGACTTAGTGACTGAGGGGGGAGACCACAAATGCTTTTGCTTGCCATCAGTATCCACCGTCTCTCTCCAATATCTTCTCTGGTTAACTCCTGCTTTTAGTTAGCCTTTTGATTTAAATGAGCCCCCTTTTTCTTTAAAAGACTGTTGCAGTCAATTTCTGGGTACAAAATGCTGGGACAATCATTGGTTTGTGGAGGTTTTCTGTGCCAGATTCTCCTGTTTCCTCAGTCAAAACCTTAAGCATTCTGCACAGCAGTGTGGAATGGGCCTTTCTGCATTAGCCACATCAAATGAGCTTGGGAGACAGCCAAGTCTGGGGTCTTTATTCATTAATTCCAATGGTTCTAGGAAAACAGTGTGAAGCTCTTGCCAGCTAATTGTAGATCATGCATGACAGAGGGCTGTCTTTTTAGTTAGTGAGATCTTCATCCCCACTTCATCCAGTTTCCTGGTCTTGATTAAAGGTATCCTGTTAAATTGTGATAGGGAGGATTCACACAAATTCCGGATAGTGGTTACCTTTTGGGCTGGAGGTTGAAAGAAGAGAGAGATGAAGAGAAAGATAAACAGACACAATTTCAAATGCACTGTTGACATTCTGTTTAACTGGTTAATGTTTACTTGAATGTTGGTTATATTTTTTATACTCTACAATATAAAAATGCATGTACTTATATATTTAAAGTAGAAATACTGAGAATTGCAAGCCTAACAAATATTATTCTTTTCCTTGCCATATTATTCCTGCATTCAAAATGCAGTCATCTAGAAACCTAAAACTTACTATTGGAAAGGTCACCTAGTGATCTTCACTTAGTCAGCAGGGTTTTCATATACCAATGCCTAGGATGCTGCAGGAGGTGCCTCAGGTACCAGCACTAGGGGCAAGGGGATGACAGCAGGTGGAGTCTTGGCCCATCATTGCTTTCAATCACATTTGATTTTGTTGTACATTATTATGATTCTGGGTAAGAAA